TTAATGATCATTGCCCATATTGACTAAGATTAATCCACTGAAAGACAAAATTACACAGACAGAAAAAAAAGACATCAGGCTGCTCAATGCAGACCCTGAAGGTGTTACAGTGAACTAACAAGTGCACACTGAGATGTAACCTTACACTGCTGGAGCTGACTGCTGGCACTCCTCCCACATGAGCTGGCATAAGCCAAAACTCTTCCCGCACCCGAGCACAGGGGCACGTACCTCCTTCCTGTGATCTATACCACCTGCCCCCACCGCAGATGCTGTTTACAGACAGAACTGGCATCTGGCTCTACATCTTTCTCTTTAAGAAATGTGAGGGAACGGATGAGTTGAGAGATTTGTAGTGGTTATTTTGTTCCCGTTTCTTTTAATTTATCGGAGGCCTCACCCCTGACGTGCAGTGCCGCAGAGAGGACAGCTGTCTCACTGAACGTGCCAGAAGCCGAAGGCCGGTGCAAACTGTTCTCAAGCTTCTACTTTGCATATTTGGGTTGCACTTAATGCGGATAAGCTCTGGGCTAATGGACCTTTTTAAATCTTGAACCAAAGTAGGTTCAATATCTTTCCACTTAAGACCTACTTGAGGTGGATGGAACGAGAAATTGTTACTAAGGTATGCCGTTTTTTTTAAATATTACAACCACATCTGTCAGCATGTTGATTATATGTACAATTAATATGAGAAAGGAAGAAGAGAAAAAAATGGTTTAATTTTTGAAAATGAAGAAATTAAAGACATAAATATTAGTATTGAAGTTTTACTGTGTACTGTAAATTAAAATTATTACATACTCAATTTTTTTAGTTCACAGTGAAATATTACAATTGCAATATTCATTATTTTGTTTAATATTTTAATTTTTTATTTAATCGTAGTAATAATAATAATAATGATATAGTCATCGTCACAAAATTAGACAAATCACAAAATTGTAACCAACTGTACAGACCTACAAACATGTAGAGCAAACCTGGAGCTTTAAAAAAAAAAAAAAAACAATAATAATAATATTTTTGACCAGAAAACTCAATTCGATTTTTCCTCAAATCATGGTGATATTTTGCAGAAATTAACAAAATATTAGAGATGCACCGATTGCAATTTTCTTGGCCGATTCCGATTTCCGAGTTTACAGATGTTCTCTCACTTAAACAACTCTCAAAATAAAGTGCGGTAGGAATAACAATTAACTGAAAATGAGTTGCTGAGTTGCACTTCACACTTGAGCTACTAGTTAAAAAAAATAAATATCATGCCTGTAAACATGTCTATTGGAGAGGAAAAAGACAATTTTTACACTTTCAAGTCATTTGTCAAGAAAAATATATTTTTTTCCCTTTTTTTTTTTAAATGACCTTTTGTAGTGTAATAGCTCTAATTATGGGCCGATCTCCATAAAAGTTCGCTTGCTTCTTTAGAATCAGATGGCGCATATGCTCACCTAATTTCTCCATGCATTTGTTTTGATTTCTGCATGTCTCTCTCTCTCTCTCTCTCTCTCTCTCTCTCTCTCTCTCTCTCTCTCTCTCAGACAGGCTGCATGAGCCTCATCTGCACAACATGGATATATCATCAATCTCCATTTACACTGAATGCAATAAAATCAGAATCATTGTCATGTGAACATTTTTGGTGGCCAAGTTTTAGAGCTTCCCTAGTTATTTTTGTTTTTGACATTTTAATCAGGCTTCCTGTCTGGTCGGGCAAGGGAAATTCTCTCTCATTTGCTCCTTTAAAAAATCTACTTGTCCCAGACAAGCATTAATCGAGCTCTGTGGTTCCCCCACGGTTCACTTTGGCCCTACAAATTGCGAACTTTGTGTCTTCTTCACTCACAGTGAAAAACTTCCATGCCAATGACATGTTTATATGCGGATGTGAGCATAGGTGTGACGTCAAAAACGGACCAGTCAACAGTCAAGCATGTGGAAAATCGGCTAATTCCAATCCCTGGCCAGTCAGTCGGTGCATATCTACAAAATACCATTATCAATCATTATCAATATCAACTTTTTATTTGCCTTACCCCAAGTCAATATGGCTACAATAAACCTGCAACAAAAATTTAGATTTAGTGCTGTCGGGTTCAATTTGGCTACTAGCTAGTCAGATTCACTTTGATATGGTGAGCACAGATAGCCACAGATACAACCAACAGATTCTAGAAACCATCATATTCATCCACGCAACATAAGTTACTTAAGCACCTGTACTTTTTCCCCAAGGGTTACTTTAAAAGTTTATTTTTCAGTAAAGGAAAGTGCATTTCCATCTCATTCTAAAGCATGGGTTAAATGCAGAGCACAAATTCCGAGTATAAGATGCCATACCTGACCACACGTCACATCACTTTCAACTTCCAACATCACTTTCAACTTCCAACTTTAAAACGTGACTACCGGGTGTTTCATATAACTACCTGCTGACATCAGTGAAGGCCAAACACTTTCTGATCCTTCACAGCACTCCTTTCTGAATTCCACACACAAACTCTCCATCTCCGAATCTCAGAGGCCCTGGATTCAAGTGTTCATGAGTGGAAGAGGCCAGGACGGTTTATTCTAAGGGAGAATCTGACTGTAGGAGCTCTTGTGGTGTTACTGTGAAGCTCCAGTATTGATCGCGGCTTTAGCACAGGACCCCCTGCCCGGATGAAGAGACGACTCTCACACCAAGGTAAGGGTGGTACAATTCAGAGCGAGGGTGGTACGATTCCACTGAAGGGGCCTTGGGGTACATTTCAAAGCGGGAACAAGCTTTGTGGATTCAAACAGCCGATTCTCTGAATTTGCCTACTTCACCATTCAAAGCCACTTCATATCTTCTGTGGTTGTCAAAACTTGGGGTTAAAGTCAACATAAAATGACATTCGCAACCCATTTTACTTCACCACTACAACATATTTCTGACTCAAACAAGGACAAAAATAAATGAAATGAAATGCAGGGCATGACTTGATAGTATCCATCAGAAATGGATTGGATCATGAAAAGTGTGTGTTCTGTACCACAATCAGAACAAGATTGTGGAGGAATACTGCTCTATTGAGACTTCAAAGGACACATTTTAAGGGAGCTTTTAAACCAGGATTTGCAAGAGATGCCTATATAGCTTTTGGGCTATTGGTTAACATAAGACAGTGTTGGTTAACATTAACCAATAGGCCGCACAGCCTAGATGAAATCAGCAAAAAAGGAAAGTTTTGTCAAAAACTATGAAGGTACCAATTTAAAACATCTGGCCATTAATGATAAACTGATCATTATTTGTAGTTAATTAATAATTAACTACAAATAATTACTAAACAAAAGAATGGCTTCAACAACGCCGTCGTCTGTTTGCATGTATAGCATGACAAATAATTAACTGCACTTGAAGCTTTCAGTAAATTAGAAATTAAAACACCCAAAACTGTATATGGCATCATAATGAAGACAAACTATATGTTTATATGTGAAATTCTGGAGGGGACGTCAGATGGCGTCGCGTGGGGACGTAATGACGTATGCCATTAATCGATCTATGTACTATAACATGTAAAACGGGAACATGAAAGGAATATTCTAAAAGCAACTCATGTAAACACCTTAATCGTAATATTGTCTTATTCAGAATAAGGTAAATAATTAGATTACTGATGTCCATGTAAACGTAGTCAGAGTTTTTTTTTTAAAGATGAACTAAGTGAGCGTGATATGATGGCAAAGGTGATCTAAAAATGTAAAAAAATAAGGGAAAACATACACTTAAAGATCCGATATTGGACAGTATATCCAATGCTGACTAATGCTGATTTTTTTTTTTAAATCTAAAAATCGCACAATAACAATATATTATGAATCCCTTTAAACATTTTTCCCCTTTTCAGCAAAATCAACCTATTAATCTATATAATATTTGTCTCAGCACACTATCCTGGGATTTAACATCTAAAACACACTTCAAGAACTTTGACATTACTCATGTCAAGACAATATAAAATACAAAAAAGTCAAGCAACTCGAACCTAACCTACTGAAATATCCGGTGACTGCAGATTCATAATCCAAACATTGTCATATAGGTGGAATTTCAACATCAAGACACCACAGGGGTCTTCAAAGGGGTCATTCGACATTGAAAGTAGAGTCAAATTTTCAAAGCACATGAGAAAACAAAAGACAAGTGTGACAGAACCCAGCACCACACAGAGGGTGAAATAACCAACCCATCCTCGTCTACTATCAATTAAACATGTGTCTTTCCTCAGAGGAATGAGACAGGCTTTAATGAACACACCTTGCAAGAAGAGAGCGAGTGAGAAACGGGCCTGTCAATAACATTAATGCTTTTATTCTAAACACTCTCGTGCCCTCCTGGTGGGCATCAGTCTCTTCAGCGGGGCCTATGATCAAGGGCTTCGCCACCAGCCAATCACCAGTTGCCCAGCGACTCACCCTGGGATGCATGGGGTGCACAGCATGAGCCGCTGGAGGCGCTTGATGCTGGATTGTGAGGTGAAACCGCAGAGCTGCCAGAGTGACTCCCCATCAGCATAATTAAGAGAGAGAGTTTTTTTTTTTTTTTGGTTGTGTGACTTCAGACTGCATTACTTATCTCTTCCTTCCACCCTCTCGCTCCCTCTTTTATTTTAAAGACTTCTCTCACATGCTCTTCCTGCCATGTCTTTGAGAATTGATTTTAATGCCCCTGGTGCGCTTAGAAAAGGACTAGAAAAAAATAGAAAGGGAATGATGGGTACAGGCCAGGCTTTGAAAAAAGAAAAAAGATAACAGGGGTACAAAAAGTCGAAAAGAAAATGAAAAGAAAAAAGGTTGAGCCTTGGCCTAGAGCATGGTATGCAAATCAGGCTCATGTTATCACTCATTTTATGGAGGGGAAAAATAAAAAAAAACAAGTACACCTAACCCTTAGAAAAGAAACTTGTCTCCACAACAAAACACATATATTCATGCCTGTAACATAAACTGTTACGCAAAAAAGTGTATTTAGGTTTAGGGGTATGTCCAGGGGACAGATTGGTCACCTCATCTGGGAGCTGCTGGTAGACGGTCTCTGATGTGGCGAGGATGAGGAGCGGTGTGAATGAGGGTACATCCTGCAGGAGTGTGAGGAAGCTGCTCTTGACCGTCTCACTGATGGCTTCCCACCAGTCACTGATGTGAGGCATATAGATGATGCTGGGTACACAGCGCCGAGCCTCACGAAACACCTACACACAGACACACACACACATACCCAAAGTTACAAATGAACGCATTCACGCTTATGTAAAAAAAATAAGGTGAACAGAGTGCGCTGACTACCATCATCACACATCTTAAGCACAACGACAGTACTACAAGCCCACAGCACCACACACTGGACGTGTGACGTCTTCAAAAGTGATGTTGCGTTTCGTCTTGCCTGAGCGCAGGACTCCTCTGGGGTTTTGGCACTGACGGAGTATAGCGTGGGTAGGTCGAGACGGTGCACAGTGAACTTCTCCAGGTGGTGCAGCACAGCAGGGGCCAGGTGTGTGCTCTGCCCCGCGCCCTGGGGTCCCGTCAGCAGCAGCCGTGGCCGGTAAGAGGTGGGCTGCTGGTAGGCAGAACTGAAACAAATATAAAAGGTCACTATCTATCTGTCTAGTTAGGAACATTCAAATCAAACCTTCAAAACTGCATTTATGAAGCACAGAAATGCTGTCTACAAAAGCTCTAGTTTTGAGAAACAGCCTCAGTTTCTCATTTAGGAAGAGTTGCTGACCAGAGGAATGAAGCTACGATGGCTAAACAAAACTCCAATAATGAAGAGAAATAAAGAAGGTAATTGATAAAGTTGGCAGCTTTTTAGGGAGGATAAATTTTCATGCATTTGACATCTACACTGTATATATTAAGATGAACCACTTGCCAACATCTCATTTAAGTGTGAGGAGCTGCAAGTATTGATGATCACAAGCTAATGCCATAAAACACTGTTTTACTGAACCATGAAGAACAAATCAATGCAAATGCAATTGAAGTAGGTCTGCTGAGGAACACAAGCCATGTCAGTGCCGCCTGTCAGTCCTGCAGCTTTCCAACAGATGGCAGCAAAACACAGTGTTTGACTATCATATAAACCCCTTCAAGACTTTTAAATCTAATAGGTTTTGTTTATTGTTTATTTTCTATTGCCACATCAGCATGAAGGGCTGTATTCATTTAAAAATATATATATATACTTGTTACTCATATTACAATTGAAACATAAGCGTAATAAATGAGGGGTCTCACAGTGTACTTATTAATTAAAGTGTACTGAGGATTAAAGCTGAGTTCTGTATGAACTCAATTGACTCACGTGGTAAAGTGGAGAAAGGGTTTATGGGTCGTGCAGGAAGCTGCTTTCTTCGGCGATCCTGACTGAGTTTCATAAATGGAAGGAGCACCAAGACATTCCTCATCCTCGCTGTACGAGTCTTTCACCAACAGATGATTGTCAGTGTCTGAAATCACAGAGAAACGACTTAAATTTCTGATGACTTTTCTTCAGAGTGATTTAGAATGACAGCATTTTAATACAGAAAACATATGAAACAATATGCAGCAGGAAAAGTATATTATTTATTCTAGATGTAAAAGGCAAGGGCATAAAAAGGCATATTCTGGCAAATAAAGAAGAAACCTTTCTACATTTTTTTTTAATTAAAGTAAAGAGGCAATAAAAATGTGAAATCCATCTTGTAAAACTTTAAAGATTAAAAAAAGTTTAAAATAATTCTAGAGGAAAAAGATTCCACTAACTGAAAAATCAACCATTTATAAAATATGTATAATATTATTCACCAACAAAAGGGTCACTTCTGATTTCATGTTGAATAAAGTAGTTATGCAGATGAATAAACTCAATCCAGGAAAATTAAAAAATCTCACTAGTTGTCAATCCATCTTTAACATATGAAGTTTCTCTTAAAACAAGCAGTTTAATGGAATAATTACAGTAGAGAAAAGCTCAAGACTAAATGGTGGGATGAGTCACATGACGTATTACAAAGCGAGCAGTCATTAAAAATACTGGGAAAATTCTATCCCCATCAGAAATATAAGGTGGTAATTATAAAGCGCTGAATGTAAGGTACAAAAAATAGATCTGAATGGATGATGAAACACGTAAATGAGAAAAGAAGGGCAAAGGGAAAAAAACTAATTAAAGCAATTTTTCCATCTACAGATTTTTCCCAGACCTTCTTTTCTCTGTAAATTAAGGGTGCACACTATTGCTGAAAAACACAATCACTACTTAGCAGTCAGATGTCCGTATGCACAAAGGCACAGATCCCTAAACGAGGCCATATCTGCAGATGAAACTTTGTTTGTAGAAGCATCTTTTAAATTTGAACTAGCACCTCATGACTACACCGCGTTATGTACGAGAAGCTGCAAAAGACACAGGCACAAGTGGAATGTACAAAACATGGTGACATTAATTTTTAAGTAAATATAATGGGCGATATATTGCGTCACCAAAAATTATTGAGGTCATGTACATATATTGCGTTATAAGTCGATATATTGATTATTGCGACAGGCCTACATAAAATCCAACAGCAGGAAATGGGAGCGTACCGTGTGTGTGTTCCCTGTGCAGGAGCTCTGTGTGGGGGAAGACTCGCATCAGGCAGGCCAGTGTTTGGGCCAGTGTGGGCTCCAGCAGGGGCTTCAACACGTAGGAAAGGGCCTGGCCGGGCGGAGCCTGGGCCCTTTGACCCGCAGGTACTATGGAGCGCAGAGCACAACCAAAGTCTTGTGGCCCCAAAACGATGGAGGCCACATCCAGCTGATAACGCTGGCTGCTGCTGTAGATCTGAGGATAGCGCCGCCGCAGAGCCGCTAGCGCAGCCTCTGTGCAAAGTGCTTTGATGTCGGCCCCACAGTAACCTGAGACACAGGGAAACAGCAGAGAACGTCACTATGTGGCCGCCTGTAATACTGTTCAAAACATTAGTAAATAGCTAACTTTAAAAATTTACAAGCTCTTCACAAATTCCATTTTATCTTTTCATTTTTGTTAACTTTCATAATTCTGTTTTCGTTTTCATTTTTCTGGATTACATTTAATGGTTAAAATAAATGTAAGTAAACGTTAGAAAAGAAAAGTTGATATTGCTTAAACTTTATTATTATTACTATTATTGGTAACGCTTTACAATAAGGTTCCATTAGTTAATGGTAGAACAAATGATGAACAATACATTTATTACAGTATTTATTAATCTTTGTTAATGTTAATCAAAATACAGTTGTTCATTGTTAGTTCATGTTAATTCACAGTGCATTAACTAATGTTAACAAGCACAACTTTTGATTTTAATAATGCATTAGTAAATGTTGAAATTAACATGAACTTATTGTATAGTGTTACCCTATTATTATTATTATTATTGTTAACATTAAGAAGTACACTAAGTTGACCGAATAGCCTTGCCTACAGTGAAAATATTAACACTGTGTTCCATTCAACTAATTTTATATTTGGGAAAACAAACTGCTATTTGATTTTGGACTTAATGTTACAAACAATAACCAAGAAGGTACATTTAAAGCAAATAAAATGCTTCAGGGAGTCAAAGTTTCTACATTAATAATAAAATCTGTTGAACAAATGTTGACACCTGTGTAAAACACAGGTAAATGATTTTTGATTATGGGATTTCCATTTGTTTCTTTATGTTTCATCTTCCAAATATCTGACATCAAAACACTTTATGATCCAGAGAAATCAAGTAGTACGAGCTCACTGACTTTGAATATAGATTAAACAAGATTGCCTGTGATTTTGTCACTTTGTGCAGCATTTCACTATCAGTGAAGAAAGAAATGACTTGAAACCCAAAACGTGTTAATGCTGCGACTAGTTGGGTTGAGATATAGAGCTGAAGCTAGAAAAGCATCTCTTTTTCGTCCATCTTACCGACACATTTCTCAGCTAGCTCATCTATGAAGGGTTCAGCAAGCTTGGGGCTCCAGTCCCTGGTGTGGATTTCCAGAATGTGCTTTCGAGCCTGTTGATGAGCATAAACACAATCACAGACAGTGTACAGATAAAACAAGGCACTTCAAAACGCACAGCAAAACTTTTTTGATCATAAACACCTAACAAAGGGGCTGGTAAAAACATAAGAGCTAACGTTTGATTAGCCAGCACCCTGCTGAGAAGACAAACTACATACACATCCAGGAATTAGACCAGCACAGAGCTGAACTCATATTACAGCAACATCAAATCAAAGCTCAGGCATAGATGATGCACACAATACTGGGGTGTAGATATGTTTGACAATTATATAAGTTGTGTTTTAGTTTTATAAGTGTAAACTGATCTGTTTCTATTCTTGTTTGTTTGTTGTCACTACCACTTGAGATTCTTTTTTTCCTGTGACAAAGTATATAATAAAATAATAATATAATGAACAAAAATAGATATGTATATATGGAGTCTAAGTCCACTAGTGAATATACAGTATATCAAGTATTTAGTATTTTCTCATTACTAATTACATTTTAAATTTTGACAACAACTCTGATTAAATATATATGATATACAAAAAAAATGTATATATGGGGCCTGAAACCATTAGAGAAAATGTATTTGTATTTTTACAATTTAATGTAATTTTTTCATTACAAATTATAAGCTGTACATTTTTAAACAAACAAACACAATTTTTTTTATGATTTTCATGCTACAAAATAAAATCCAGATTTAGCGTAGTCTAAAACTTTTGGACCCCAATTGTACAAAATAATATTATATTATTTATTACAATTATTCAACAAAATAGTACTGCATTAAATTCTGTTGATCATCAATGTTTTCAATTTTTCTGGTTTCATTGATGTATATACAATATACTGATCTGTTCAAATGCTGTTTAATGCTCTCACCCTATTAGAAATCCTCATTTTTGCTCAATACTGCTCTGACTGGTGGACAAAGGAAAAATATATATATTTATCATCTAATGGTATCAATTTAAAAACATACTTCCCTCAATGTTTATTTGTAGATTGAAGTGCTTAATATTTGGTCAAAACATTAGCTTGACTGTATAAATGACTTTATGCAAGAAATTTACAAGTTACTCATTTTAAAGGTAACATTAAAGGCTTCAACTCTGATCATGAAATGTTTTGATCTAAAGCAGGAATGCTCTGATATCAGCAGAGATCGGCATGCTAAACTAATCTCATCAAAATTAACTGGCATTCCATTTGTCAAATTGTCAACGAGCTGGAACAAACAGAATCTATGAGATTATCACAGATAAAAGACATGTTTTAGCGGCCAAACCAGCTGCAAAATACTTGAAACTGAGCTGTCAGACTATTTCAGGATTTTGAGTGAGGGACACGAGGACGCTTTGGGGCACAGAGTATCAGTTGGCTAAGAAATACTCACTGAAGTTAAAAAGGTTTCACGCACCTTTTTATCTGGCAGGTTGAACAGAAACTCCCGGTCAAAGCGTCCGGGCCTCCTGAGTGCGGGGTCGATAGAGTCGAGTCTATTTGTAGCACCGATGACCACTATCTCCCCCCGGCTGTCCAAACCATCCATCAATGCCAGTAATGTAGACACTATGGAGCTAAAAAATAAAAAGATAAAACAAAATGACTGGCTAACCTTGTCAAATGTAAAATGAATAGGTGTTGTTGTGTAAATGTGTGTAGTACATCAAACTCTTTGAAAGAGCAAGAAAAATCTTGTTTTCCATGATACATTCCTTGTAATACCAAAACGCTTTGTGTGGAAATCATATCGAACTACATGATTTCTTCAGGAGCTTTTCTACTGTAATCCTGGTGATGAAATCTTTGGCAATAGCCACCGCATTAATTCAAATGCATTACCTGTGAATTTGATCCTGCCTGCTGGAGCGAACAGGAGCGAGGCCATCAATCTCATCAAAAAAGATGATGGAGGGTCTCATGAGGTATGCCTGCCAGGACAAGAGGAAAACATCACCAACTGGATAATCACATATCTAACACTTCAAAACAGCTGGAGAGAGAACAGACCCTGACACCTGTTTTATAGGGATATATGATTCACTCTAAATCTAAAAAGACTACTTGTGATACACTACAAGAATCAACAAAGAGGAAAAAGAAGCTTTAGAGGACAA